TTATACCATTCTTCTTCAATAATTTTTTCCAAATCTTTCATATTCTTTGGTCTTCTTTCATTGACCTTAATCTTTAGATAATGCTATGAATTTTCTATTGGATTCATGTCCAGACTTTGTGCAGGCCATTCTAGAGGTTTTATCTCTTTTTTTTCAAAGAAATCATTGTTTAAAGAAGCTTTATGTTTTGGGTCATTATCTTGTTGAAAGATAAAACCATCACCCATGTTCAATTTTTTAACAGATGCAAATAAATTTTTGTTTAAAATTTGAGTATATGACATAGCTATCATATTACCTTTAACCACTTCTATTTTTCCAACACCGTTGTATGAGAAGCAACCCCATAACATTAAATTCCCTCCTCTATGTTTAATAGTAAGATTTAGAAATTTTTCATCATACCTTATGCCTCTTGGTCTTCTGATATAAACCATTTTATCTGAACCAAATAAGTTAATTTTGGTTTCATCTGACCACAAAATTCTCTTCCAATAATCTATAGTATCCTATAGATGTTCATTTGCAAACATTAATCTTAAAGAAATGTTCTTTATGCTTAAAAGAGGTTTTTTAATGGTCTATAAGCAGCTAAATCATTATTATTTAAAACATTTCTATATGTTCTTGGTGTAGCTGTTTTATTTAATACCACATTAAGCTCTTTAGCCAAATTTCTTGAACCTATTTTTAATTTTTTTACATTACTTTTAATAATATCAATTTCTGATTCATAAAAGATCTTTGGACGATTAGATCCTTTCTTTCTATTAATATTTTTATTAATTTGTACCTTTGAATTATTCTAAAAAAGGTTAGTTTACTTATTTTAAATTTATTTATAATTTCCAAATTATTTACTCCTGCTTCTTTCAATGTGACTATTTTTATTTTATCCTCCTTAGTAATATGTTTTGCCATTAAAGAGATAATAATAAAATTATTTTAAGAGGGAAAATGAAAAATTTTCAAAAAAGTCTCATTTATTTTTTCCACTTAAATTTTTTTTATAACATATATTGTTTAAAAGCATTATTGTATATAAATTTTTTTATAAATAGATATTACAACATAAATAAAAGACAATTTAAAATAAAATTTAAAAAGAATAACTTTTAAAAGAAAACTTAAAGTTAGTCTCATTTTTATTTCCACCACTGTAGGATAAGAAAAAATAGTATGTGAAAATGTAAAAATAGAGGGAAAATTTTACTGGCCGAATTTTTTTTGAACACTGTTTTTATTTTTTATTGAATTAAGTATAAAATTAAAATAATATTAAAATTTTTTTATTAAACTTAAGGTCAATTTTTAATTTAAATTATACCTCTCAACCAAAAAATTGGTTTTTTCATACTTAGATTTATACTTATGTTAAAAAAATTTAGTGGCCGATTTTTTTTTGAACACAACTGTATATAATAGAACAATAATAACACTAAGTTTGGTTAAAAATAAATGAAAATAACAACAAGAGTTTTTTACTTAAATATCTGCTATATTGGTGTACATTTTCATTATTAAATTCGTTACAATGATTTTTTAAACAACTTTATGACTATTTGTGATTAGTTTTAAGAGAACTAAATCAATTAAAAAATTATTATAGTTGTTGAAATAAAAAAATAATTAAAACAAAGCTTATTAAGTCTTTTCATTGATCTAGAAGTGTCATCCTTAGTGTTTATATAAAACTGCTTTCTATGTCTAACTCATTTGTAATATCATCTTTCTTAATTAAACATTCTTAATTCATCTTCTACTAAATTTCTATAAGTTAAATAAAATCACTTTTCAAATATTTCACCTGTCAATGCTATCAAAAAGAATTTTTTAAAATAAAAATTTTACATGAGTAAACTATCATTCATTTCATAAGATACAGCAGTTACAACTGTTGTAAATCTTTAAAACTAGATATTTGGTCAGTTACAAAAAGGGGTATTCTTGATGAAAAATTTTAACCTATGAAAGTTAATAACACTGAGACAGAGAGAGATATGGATTATATGATATAAGACAACGATAATTGAGTTAAAATTATGAACTGTAAAGATACATCTGATAATAATAGACTTAATAAACTTATCTATTCATCTTCTATTGATTTTGGCAACTACATTTTCTATGAATAAGTAAAATCACCTTTTCAAATATTTCACCTGTCAATACTATTAAATAGAATTTGTTAAAATAAAATTTCACATGAGTAAACTATCACTTTAATCAGAGGATACAAAAACTTCTATAAGTTAAATAAATTATTTTTTAAAAATATTTCACCTGTCAAAACAATCAAATATAATTTCTTAAAATACATTTGATTATTTAAATAAAACATCACTCTTTTCTGAAGATACAACAATTATAACAAAGAATTTATGTTTTTTATAAAGAAACCATTAATAAAGCTTTTTTAAAAACATTAATAAAATTTAACATTAACAAATTAAAAAATGATAAAAAAATACCCCTAAAAATGCACGCTTATAACAATCAGCATAACTATCAAAAAACAGATTCAATCGAATCACCAAACAGTATTAATCAAGATAGTAAAACACCATTTAATCAGTTTCATAATAATAATCAATTTTATGACAATCAAAT